ATTACTTTTTATAGGCCCTACTTAATTAATCTACATATGTATGAGTAAGCACAAGAGAGTGATTAACGGAAAGAATCATGATCATCAATAACAATTAAATCATTCAAATTGTAAAGTATCATCTCAAACCAAATTAGAAGGCAACAGGATGCAGAATGATGAACCAAAATAAATTGCAAAGTTAACAAGATGGCAGTATAGCAACCCGAGAACCAACGATACTAAAGGCTCCTAAATCACCCAACAACCAAAAACTCTTTATCAATCAAATTCTGTCGAGCTATAAAAGAAGAAAAAATAGACGAAATGAGAAGCTTATCCATCAATCAATAAAGAAAATAAAGCATAACCCTTAACGACCTTTTAAAGATTTCCAACAACAAGTAGAGGTCGTTGCTAGAAAATGTGACTTGACAAACACATTGCAAGAAAATCTAAATTGAAAAAAAAATGTTGCAGAAGCAAGACAAGAACACATGACTCTATATATAGGATTATCAAAGAGGTAAAAGCACCGCTTAAAAAGCCCTCGTCGTGTGTACATAAGAGAACAAGAACAAAATCTTAGCTCTAATACAACGTTACAATAAAATAAACTCTTGGACATTCAATCATGTCAAACCTTAGCTCTATTACCATGTTATAAGAAAATCTAACTGATGTGCCAGAAGGCTGCTCTCCAATCCCCTGAAACAAAAGGATTCTAATATTCAATTTAAGTGTAAAACTAAACTACACTAAATCAATAAAGCAATGCTTCTGCTAGAGGTTAGAAAAGAAGGCCATTACTACCTGAGATATATCCTTCGAGCTGCTTCCAACTGAGACATCTCTGCATCAAATGTGTTCACCAACTCCAAAATCTTGGTGTACTAACAAACCGGACAACCTGGAAACAATCAGGAATGATGTCAGAATACGAAAACAGAAATCCTTGCATGAAATAATAACAAGATCCCCAATTGTCGACTATGTGAAACCTCTCAAGTGTTCCTTTTTGAACCAAGTCTCGGAATCATGTTTTTCAACTTCAAGCTTAATTGATTGAAGTGACAGTGCAACTGCTCTTCTGCCAACTTTAAATGAGTAACAAATGGCTTCACCAACCCAGAAGCAAGCGTTTCTGTGTTCCATTGCTCGAAACAAACAATTCACATCTTCCCATAGGAAAATAATAACAATGAGTATAGATATAAAGAAAATTTGTAACAACATACAAAGTCATAGAATGATATCTCACCGTGAGAGTTTTGGTGACAATTGGAATATGGCGTAATCAAGATGTGTGTCGGTTTTCATCTTCTCTCTAATATTACAAACTTCCCTAGGTTAGCCCTTTACGTATACTTCTTAGCACAAGTACAACCTGCTGCCGGTGTCAAAATCAGCAAAACTTCATTCATAGACCTCAAAGTAATAATAAAGCAGATTCTAGAATAAGAAGCAAGAAGAAAAAACAGTGAACTAAGAAATGCCAATAACTATAGTATCTAACAGTTTCACTCACAAATGGAATTATAAGTTAACTAAACCCAACATGTGCAAATCAAACAAGGAAACAATGCCTTTATAATTCATGTTTCAAACAAAATATGACATCATATTGATAACTCATAAGCCCAAAAGTTGAAGGAGAAAAAAACTACTAACTTCGGACCATAAAGCTTACCAAAAAAACATATGGATCTCAGTCTAAAAGATAATCGGATTGAAAACAAAAAAAAAATGCACATAGAAAAGCAACTCTTGCACAAAAATAGAACCCATTATTCACAGATGTCAATCAGCTACTCCCAGATCCGATTCCACCCAAAAGGCCCAACTTCAAGGACTGAAATGAATCTAAACCATTTCAACAAAACTCGATATCAAAGAAGAAAAAACACCAACTTGACAAAATCTGAAATGCACAAATTAATGAACTTACTGAAGTTAAAAATGGAGGGGAAAGGTGAGATCTTGGAGTGGGGAATTGGATCTGATAATCAACTCTCAAATGGGTACCTGAATTTGGGTTGTATTACTGAGGAAGTTAAAGAGTTCAACTTGATGGAATCTTTATTTATTTATTTATTAAGATTGAAGAAAGAACCCTAAGAATGACAAGATGGTTCTTCTGCTTTCCTTGTCAAGTGGAAAATCTTTTTCTATGGACGATGACTATGCTTCCCCTCTCTAGGGCACTCTCTGTCCAAAATTATACAGTAGAGGGAAAATGAAAAATATATATACTAACGTTTTCTTTCGGACAAGTTCTTTGTTGTATTCCTTGTATTTCGTGGTTTTTTTCAAACATGGATCGGCTATTCGCTACAAATGTCTATTTTTTGGCTTTTTTATTTGAAGTTACCATATTCTCCTTTACCCTTTTCAATATTTTTTGAATAGTGGCTATTTCAATATTTAAACTTCTATTTTTGATGCGATTACGGTCTTTATAAATATTAATTTATAGAGTTAGATTAAATTATAGAAACGATAAAAAAATTTATCAAATATTTAATGAGATTTAAACTATTACTTTTATTCTATTTAGTGTCTAGAATTTATTTTTTAAATAATATTCAACATTTAGTTTATGTTTTAATTTGATACATGTCATTACAAAATTAAATAACGGCTGACGTGATGTTTTTTAATGATGATACGATATTACAATATAGTGATACGTCAACATTATCGTTAATTTTTTAATGTTGGGTATCAAATTGAAATCTAAACTAAATACTAAGTATGGTTTTGAAAAAAAAAATACCAAAACAAAACAAAAATAATAGTTTAGTACTGTATGTGTAGTTTACCCATAATAAAACAATATACATATAATAATGCTTAATACTCCATAATAAATATAATTTAAATAATAAATAAATTGGTTAGATTTAAGGGTTGATAAGACAAGTAAAATCTGATTGGGATTCACTAACGAATTAAAAAGCGATGGATTGGTGAGGTGAGGTCGACATGAAACGACGGTGAAGGGTAGGCCTAATTCTACACACTTGCAAAATGGAGGGTCCTGATGAATCATGAACGTTCACTTTATATCATCCCTACCGCCCAACGACCTTAGCTTTCAAAATTTTATTATTACCCCCCCCCCCAACAAAAAAAAACCAACACTTTCATAGTTGGTGACACGTGGATTTTTCTTTTCGACTTTATAAAAAATCATTAGAAATTCTTTAATAGTTTATATTATTCTTTTCCAAGATTAATATATTTTTCATCCTCATTTGACTGTTGCCGATCATTGATAACCATATAATTGGTATCAAAACGACAAAACGTTCTCCTTTCTTTCATCTTTTTTATCCTCGTATTGTTTTTTTTTAGAAAATAACAAAATTTAAATCAAAGTTTTGACATTATTATTTTGATCTATAAACTTCATCGTCTGATTATTACGAAATTATTATATATTATTCTTTCTCCTTTTGATCTCTCGTTCATTCACATTTCGAAGAAAATACTTTAGTGTCACTGAATGAATGAAGTCCAAAAATATAAGTTTCAAAGAAAAGTTTAGAGGCTTTTGTGTAAAATTATCTAAGAGATATAAATGGCAATAGATAGGGTTGTTCATTCGGTAAAATCAAACCGAATCGAGCCGAATTAACCATAACTAAATTAATCGAACTTTTTTTAACCGTTAACCGAATCGATCTTTTTTTCGAAAATATTAATCGAACCGAATAAATTTCGGTTAATTCGGTTAATTTTGAATTAACCGAATTTTTTAAAATTTTCTAATTTATATAAAAATTAAATATTTTTAATTCAAAAAAAAAAGTTTATAATTAATTTAAATAATATATAATTATAAAATAAAATTTCAGATAAATTTTTGAATTAATTAATATTGATTTAGGTTTAAAAGTTATTAGATCTTAAATTATTAATTGGGTTTTAAATGGTTTGGGTTTATACCATATGTTATATATAATATATTTAATATTTTTAATTAAAAAAACAGTTTACAATTAATTTAAAATAATATATAATTATAAAATAAAAATTTTATATTGTTAATTAATTATATTTGATTTAATTTTAAAAGTTATTTGATCTTAAATTATTAATTGGGTTTTAAGCCCATATGTTATATATATATATTTAAATTTAAAATTTAATTTCGTTAATTAACTGAATTCAAACTGAATTAACCGTTAACCGAATTCTAAAAATCTTCTTAACCGTTAACCGACCGAACTAATTCGGTAACCGAATCAAATTAACCGAACTAATTCGGTTCGATCTATTAACCGAATTAGTTTCGGTTATTTGAACACCCCTAGCAATAGACCCCTAACTGTTGGGTGATAAAACCAGAAGCTTTTCTAAATTGAGTGACCAAAACAAAATAAAGGCAGTTTAAGTAACAAGAATGTAGTTTACCCTTTTAAGTACTGGATTTTCAGAAGATATACGGTTTGATTATTTACCGTTTTAACTATATTATAATAATTAATTTGAGATTGAACCGAGATAATCAAATATATTTAAGATTTAATCATGACCATGAGGGAATTTAGTATTTATTTATACCAAGTTAATCATGACTAATCATTAATTGATTCTTTAATATAATTAAATTAGTGATTAAGTTGAGAGATTTTGTACCTATAAATGGTTTAACTTCATAGTTTTATATAGGGACGGATTACCTACGGACGATAATCTCCTAAAAAAAATTAAATTTATATACATTTTAGATATCCTTTATACTTTTATTAAAAATATGTTTGTGTCTCCTTAAGTTAAGTAATTTCTTTCATTTATTAAAAATTTATAATTTTATTCTCTAATATATATATTATATTTTTTCTTGTATTTTAATTAAAAATATGTTTTCATCTTCCTAAAATTTTATATATTCACACTCTAACATAAAATTCTGCGTTCGTCTATGATTTTAGATGTATTAAATTTTTAGATTTTCTTAAATTTGTATGAGTAGTGCTCTAAAATCGATCTAAGAGACGATTTTTTTTTACGAATGATATTTTATAATTTAAAAAATATATTAAAAAAGATAAAGATTCGTGATTAATTATGAACAAATATTTTTAAATCTATTCAAAAAATTACAGTTATGTAGATGATATAATTGTTTAAAAAACCTTAAACCGACTAATTTTGTCGTATTCACTTATACTGTTAAGGCTGAGATTCAAATTGAGTATTTAATCGGGTGGTTGGGCTGCTTGGATTAGGTCTGGACCTAACAATTCGATTCTTTATAGTTCCACAAAGACAACGTATGCCTTGCCTGATGCTCTTCCATCGAAGCCCAGTTGTGTTTATTCATGGTTTTATTCTGGATCGTTAATTAAAAATATTTATTTTAAATAAAAAAATTAGTGTTGGTATAATTATATGAAAAGTTTAATAATGAAAAAAGATTTGTAGATTATATTAACATTAATTTAAATTTCCAAGTTGGAAATATTATCTTTGTAAATGCTTAACTTGTAAGGCCTAAAATCAAAAGGGTTGACATCACCAGCTTGTAGTTCTGTTTCAAGCATATCGTTGTATCCCAACTAGTCCTCAACTTGTTCACTTTGTCATATTCCTACAACACCTAGCTCTTCTACTTCCCTGTCATTATCATGGCCAATGCTGCAAACATTCGTGGGCAAGGGCGGAAGTAGGATAAAATTATAACAGGAGTCAAGTTGCTTACCTTTCAAATTAACAAGGCTCTAAAAGATAAATTAAACCAAGAAAAATAGGATCGAGATTTAATTCACTAATTTCAAAATTGTCATATCTTAAAAAGTAATTATACCGAAAAATTTAGAAGCAAAACTTAATTTTATTTAGCTTAAAAATGATAATATCTTAAAAAATAATTAAACTAAATTTTTTTAAAGGAACATTACTAAATTTTGATGGTTTCAAAAATTTTAGGGACTTAAAATATAATTAAACCATAAAATTGAGATGGACCATGTCCTCCTTCCCATCCATGTGTTCCGCCACTGTAATCGTGAGATGAATTTGGTCCCCCAAGGTATTAAACATAAACTAAATAAACATAAAACCGAAACATATTTTAAATCACTTGCTCTTATTATTTTTGTTGTTTCTCGGTCCGTAATAATTTATTTTGATTTTAATTTTATGCCACTCATTGATTCATCAATTTTTAATTCAGTTTGTTGAACAATCAATTTTCGGCAATTAATATTTCTAATTCAATTATGACAACACTAGTTTTTATAAAGTACAAAAATCAATATCGGATAAATTAAATAAAATTTTCATAAAATAGAAATAATATTCATCTATATAAACTTAAACATGAATAACGTGATGATTTGGTTAATATATAAATCTAAAAAGTATAACAAAAAGGCAAACCAATTGAATCATTAAACAAATTAAAAAATTTCCCACCACTACTTAAATTAGATATTTAGTGTGCTTCATGAACATTCCACTTATTTCACCCCACATTTTTTCACATTAAAATGGAATCAAACAGACCCCTCAATTCACAGACACAAAAACCATGCAAGTTGCCCAACTTGTATTGTATGGCAAGAAACATGTAGAGAATATAACAATTTTACGATTTTATTCACGATTTTAACCTTTAAATTATACACATCTTCTTTCTTTCTTTTTTACCATTTAAATTATTGTTTTATCTTAAAATGACATCAAATAAAAATAAGATTTATAACATGTTTTTACTTTTTAAAAAGAAAGATCGAGACTAAAATGATGATTGAGTAAGAAAAATAAGATTATATGGATTAAATCGTGAATCGTGACTAATATTATTATCACGGGAAATGTTTGGTCCAAAATGAAAATAATGGGATTGGAACATTAACGGCAAGTTGCAGGTTGGAGTTGGACGTTATTAGTGCAGTGGGGCACCATGACTTTTTAGCATGATGAAATCAAAAAGTGGTGCTGGATATTTTAAGGTTGACGTGGACAATCTGACTTGCCATCAAACACAAAACCCAGACCAAAGAAACCGGTCTGGTTGGTTGTGCTGCCATGCCCCCTCCTGCCTGGACATAATCCTGCATCTTGGCTAAAACCCTGTTTTGGGTCCCTAAACCCAAATGAATTTGGACCCATACCCCCACATTGTTTTCTATGATGTGAGATCCAGTAACGATTAAACTCAGGATATTCATTTAAAATTTTTAATATCTCATCTCACTAAATTAATTATTTATATTTATTATATTCTTAATATAATGTAAAAACCTGTGATTATAGTGAATATAAATGCAGAAATGGAGCAGGATTAATTGAAGGATGTAACAATTCAGCATAAGCTAAATGGAATCCGTTTGATTAGCAAATGTAGAGTAGTTCAAGGTAAAATAGAGTAACAAGCTATTAATGAAATTCATTGGCATGGTCAACCAGCCATGGAAACAAAATTACAACTAGATTTGCTTCTCAAACTCCGCTTCGGCTTCCGTAGCAGTGATCTCGCTTAGTGGTTCCATCTTCGTCTCCCTATTTGGTTCGAATGTTCGAATCAATACATCGATTAGTACAAATGGTGTTGATCATGAACCGGAGATGCCATAATCATGGTTGGATGAAACCTTTTGTTTCCTGCCATTTTTTCGTCTACTACCGCCGGCTTCACCGACTGTTATTCCTCCTTTGGCTCCTCTCCGATGCTCATACCTGCCTTGCGTTCCACCTGACTTCAGAACATCAATCAGAAGAAACAATAGCATTCATTTGAATTTTACATTTACTACTGCGTTACAAATGAAGCAATATATGACTAGTTCTGATGCACCGAATCACACAACGAATGTTCCTAGCATTTAACTTACCCCAGACAGAAGCCGTGGAATTGTGCATCAAAGCTAGATATACTCTCCCGCATCATCCCGCTGGAACTCATATCGCAGATTTCTGCTTGTTGGAGCCAGAACTTTCACCGATAGATGAGAACGGAGATGAAGAAGGACTAGACGCAGTCTGCTGACCATACGACCCGAATGAATCAATGTCCACTTGGAACATCTCTTCAAACAGTTCCTGTAATTCCTCAAAGCTTTCCTCCGCATTTTCATAAGGGTAAAACTTTGTCACTAACACCCCCTCAATTTGTGAATGATTCTATGATGTTTCAACTCAAAGCATCTTGGAATGTAGACCGAATGAAGCTCAAACTTAACTAAACCGATCATTTTCCCATTAATCCGCACGACCGAACGGAACATAATTCACACACAGTGAAACATAACCAAAGTAACACCTGAACTGAAAACTCAAACATTGATTATCATTTCTTCATTATCAATCAAGTGGCAAATATACCTAAAATGCACTTTCCAAGGACCCACAGAGCCGTTCACTCAAATGTCATTTCCAGGTGGATAATGGGGCCATCTTCAACGGATTTCATGGGATTCCAAGTAGATAATCGATCATTATCAACCCAACAAATATATAAAATAATAATGATAAAGTTCTGTTTTGGTCCATGCCTTATGAGATAAATGGTTAAAAACAGTTAATACCTGGATTTGCAAAAGCAACACTTACCCATTTAGACTTTTGAGTATTATGAACGAAAATCAATTTGATCCGACTCGACTTGAATTTAGACTAAGAAAAAACAACCTAAATGAAAGAAGGAAAGGATATGCTTACACACAGATTTTGTTGGCTCATCATCACTGCCATTTCGTTCAAGAAGTCTCCCATGCCCTGTGAAATTAAAAGGGGAAAAAAACATTATTCACCGTTGTCTTCAAGTATGGTTTGGTTTAAACCTTAATCTTACCAGCTTAAAACTAATGTAAGGATTTTTGGAAGGAAAAAATGATACATTTTCGTCATCATCACTGTCATAAGCTCCAACATCGTACAAGAACCTCTTATTTGCGTCAGACCTGTGGCATACAGACAGAGCATCTCGTGAAGGTCAATAATTCCAAGTTTAAATTAATAAAATTAATAATTTTAATAAGAGAAAATTAACCAGAATAAGCTTGTTGAATAGCCTGGAATTTTTTCTTGGTTCTCCACGAACTTTGAATTCCCAGAGGCTGAGCAACGATCGGGGTGCCATCTCTGTTCCCAACAACAAATGAAATTAAATAAGTTTGCCTTTTCTTTTCACTAAAAAATGTTCAATGCATTCACAGGATTTTCCCGGGGGGAAATCCCATCATTTACTGTTCCCGTGAAACCCAGAAATCTAAAGCATTGGTTCATGAACTTGAATAAAAATGTATGGCATGAATTCACAAAGATAAGAAATCTTGGGTTCGCGTCTAACCAGGGCAAGTTCTTATAAGCAGCCCTCAGCTCTGTTGGAGTGCATTCTTTATCCAACCCCAAAACCGCATAAAATCACTGTTTTCTCTCCCCATTCGCCATTCTTATTCGAAAACAAAACCCAGAAAATCCTTTGAATTCGACAAATATGGATACCAAAACCTACAGCTACAAACTAAGAACTACTAAACGAAGACGACGAACCCTCCTATGATATAAACATGACAAAAGGACTAGAATTTTTATAAACATACTTAGAGACTACATCTTGGGGGAACCCTTTTCCAGTGAATGTTTCCTTGAAGGAACGGGTTTAAGAGAAAAAGACCCAAGATAAGGAAATCAAAAGAAAAGGAAATAGTTTTCCCTTCTCTCCCTGCAAATCCCCAGAACTCTTCAGAAACCGGTGATTTTATACGTAAGTTTTTGTGGGTTTAGGTTGTGTTTTTTTTTCTTTTATTAATCATTTTAATTATTGAATGATTTTAAGTATAATCATAACTAATTTACGTATAACTTATCATACTTCTTGATTAATATGAAATTAATTGGGCCACAATAATTATAAATAACTTATCTTTTAATTTAAATACAAAATATAATTACTAGACAATCATTAATAAATATCAAAGTCTTTAAATGGGTAATTCTACTGTACGACAACATAATATAATATTAAAGAAATATGTTACTGTAAATGTTAATATATTTTTAATATTTTCGGTGGAGTGCTTCCTAAATGCTATTTTTTCTACCAGAAATATTAATTTCGCTACCTAAAATGAATATTTCGATATTAACATTTCTAGTAGAAAAAATAACATTTTAAATAGCGCTCTACCGAAAATGTAAAAGAAAAAAATCGATAACGCCATTTTTTTAACCTTATTAGGTTATTTTTTTAGACATCTCCTTCTTGAATAGATAAAAAGACTAAATAAGAAGAGAATGAGTTTGAGCCTTTCGGTCGATTTTGATCAAAATATTTATAGTAAGTTTTTTAGTATTAGTGTTTAGTTTATAGTCATTATAATTAATTGTAATTGATAAATTCAGTAAATACGATCTATATACAATAAATTTAATTTTAATAGGTCATATAAATTAATCAAATGCTATATACAATAAAATATTTATGTCCGAATATATAAATCATTATTTTTAGAGGAGATGTTTTTTTGAGTAACTAATATACTAGATCAATTTAGTGGAGAAAATTTAGAAGGTAAATAAATTACAACTAATTGATGATAAAATATAGCTAGCTCGATTAAAATATTTTTATTTTATTTATAAATAGAATAAGTGTAACATCCTCAATACGAGTTAGTGACTAAATTGTAAAGTTACAAATTTGGTGATTAAAATATAATAATTGGATAGTTAAGGACTTATATGAAAATGTGGTGTATGATCAAATTGAAAAGGAGAAAGAATAGAAGGACAAAATGGTCATTGGCAAGGGAATAATTTAATTGTATGGGTATATATATGTTCCTCGTGGAATGGGTGGAGAAGAATATAAGCTTCCAGAGTATCTTCTTCTTTTCTTCACTTCATACGTGAAGTCTCAAAGCAAAGGTGAGTTTTCTCATGAGCTAATTATTAGCTGAATTTAAGTTTGGTTTTGATTATTATGTTAATTAAGCTTAAGGAAAGCTTAATTTTTTTAAAACAACAAGATGATGAGTTAGGAAGGATTAAAAAGGAGGTGTTAGAATAAGAATTGGAACATGTTGGAAATTGAGTGTGATTCTTGAATGCCATAAAGGATAGGATTTTGAGTTTAAAGAAATGATTATGGAGTAAAAATGAGTTGTGTATGAAAGTTAGGAATATAAAAGGAGGTGCAATATGAAGTGTTGAGCTGAAAATGAAGGGATTTTCGTGCTCAAAATGTAATTTATGGGTTGGTGCATCGGTACACATTCAATGTGTACCGATGCACTCTCAAATAAATAAACATCGAATGCAGTACATCGATGCATGCCTTTAAAATGAAACATCGAATGTTATTTGTGTACCGATGCATAGATAGTGCATCGATGCACACGTTAAGGGATGCATCGATACGCTGTATAGTGCATCGATACATACATTCATTAAGAGATGAAAATAACCTTTCTTTTAGTGTAAAAAGTGATAGCTTGGAATATATCAATTAGTATACTGATATGTATCAATGTATTACTATGTAGATTTAGAGCGTAATCATGTTCCGAAACAATCGAAGGATTAGGATCGAGCCAAATCAAATAAGGCTAAGGTGAGTGCATATCCTAGATAGAATTGTATTGAGATAAGACTTACGATGAGTCTATCCCTTATAGTTGAATTTGTGATTCCATATTCATGCACATGCATACATATATATATGTGTTAACGTTATAGTGATTTCATGTATAATTCATTCATGCTTTAATATGATATTATATGAATGAATGCCATTATAAGAGAATCCTTCCAGGTATGTGGAATAATGAAAATGATCATATGAAGTGAATTGTGTTTACATGGAGTGATAAAGTGATATAAGTATAAGAAATGTAATTATATTTAAGCCCATGTTATCTAATATGAGAGTTGTAGGTATAATTGGCATGCCGAGAGTCGAGAGATAATCAGTGGTCCTTCGGACAAATATTCTGTGCCCCTAGTGGGATTTTATTCGAGTTGTGGTGACAATATTGCACAACCTCAATGTACTCACGTACCTCATGTTCTCAATAATGTACATGGGCATCCAAAGATAACTAAAAGATTTTTTTATGAAACATAATTGTTCATTCATGCATATCATACTCATATCATGGTGTGGTATCTATATGTGCATTGCAATCCCTAGTAGATTGATAGTAGTGTATGTTCATGATATTATTGTTATATGGTTATTTTAGCCTCACTAAGTCTGTGACTTAGCGTGTAAGTGATTTACACGTAGGTACCAAGAATCTAGAATAGCAGAAATAGGGATGGCAAGAACAACATCATACCTAGAAGATCAGATCAGAAGTAACTGATAAGTATGTATTTTGTTGTGTATATTGTGTTGGCATGTAAGTAATGTGTTACGAATGTTCTGATCGATTTTGTTTTGTTTTGGTCAACATATGTAAAGTAACAATATTATTTCAATGAAGTTTAAAATTTCTTTGGTTTTCTTTAAGAGTCAAATTTTGAAAGGTTAATGTGACCTCATACTCGTATCCGGATCGGTTACGGGTTGAGTGTTACAATAAGAATGAAAGTTAAACTTACTTTTTAAAATCAATACCTTAATAAAATATTAGTTTGATTTGTTTTTTAAATGTAAAATAAAATACAAATGAAAGATCAAAGAAATATTAATACAAAGAATGGAATATAAATAAATAAATAAATAATTGTGTTTTAATTAATTTATTATGCTGTGGACCGGTGACAGATAAGGGATTCATGGACGGTGGGATTTGAGGGAAATGGTTTATTTTGCAGATTTCTGGTCCAGAACCTTCTGAAGAAGAGAATAAAAGACCCTTCTTGACGGCAACTTTTGGCAATATTTAATTACTCAATTATTTAGTTTTTTTTATCCTATTTATGTATGCAATAAGTGTTTAAAAGAGATGATTATCCAGCTCAGTTGGTAGAGCACAATTTTTAATCTTGAGGTCGTGGGATCGAGTCTTACGGAGGGCATTTCATAATTCGGAGGTCTTCTACGGAAGCTGCTCTTAATCTGATGTTGGTAGTAGCCTACTATCTTACTTTCCCCTTACCCCATTACATATGGGAACAAGGGACATCCATTAATAAGTGTCCAAAACTTGTGGTATAAATACTGTAATCGTACTGTATACAGTAATAAAAAGTGATTTTTATTCTCTCTACTTCAAAGTTACATGACAAATACTAATAAAAATTAAATATAAATTTGGAAATAATTGAAAAAACTGCTGACATTTGCCTTGAAAAGGTTAATTTTATGAGAGGAAACTAGACTAATAATAAGATGTTAATTCAAAATATAATATTATATTTTAAGTGACACAATATATTCTTTGATTTATTATAATTTAAAAATTTTAATTATTACATTTAATCGACCGGCTGATTTAATATCATGCATTATTTATAAAAATGTTAGATATTGAAGGGACTAAATTTGAAATATTACTATTTATGTGGCCTGGAAGGTTGTTAGTCAATTATTTTTATCCTAATAAATCAAAAACTAAAAGTAATCAAAGACACGAAATTTTCGATCTAACGAAGACGTTGGTTTAATTTCATTAAAAATGAGTTTTCAAATACAAATTGATCACATCAAAGTTGACCATTCAAAATAGTTTTTTTAATCCATAAACTATTAAATTTTATTGAAACCAAAGAATATACAGCCTTTAACAAAACAACCAATTACAAAGGGAATTTTAGGGATTATGGTCACAGAGAAATACATACATAAAATAAAATAAACTCAAAGACACGATAATAATTGCAACATTCTTTTGAATCCGATATCCGTCATCCATAATAACGGATCATTTTGCCAAAACGACTATTCAATCATTTTGTCGACGTTTTAGAGATAATGAAGGAGTGACAAATAAATAAAAATAAATTTACATATTGTTTCGTAAAATAGATCTAAATACATCGATAACAATCAAGAAAGAATATAACCACTTAAAAGCCATTGATAATCATAAATCAGATACGAGCGACATGAGAATGTCTACACGATCGCATATCTATAGAGGTAGACGAACAATGTGTCATAGGACAAATAAAACGTACCACAATAACATTGTAAAGCATTCAACA